GAAACCAGATTTTTCTGGTCATTAGAATGAGCAAATATTGACTCACTTAGTGGTGAGCTGACTACTTCATTTGTTTTCATTTGGAAAGTGCTGTTTGCTTTGGTTCAAGAAAATGCTGAACTTTCCTTTCTCAAATTTTCCAAAGTAAAACTTTAGTAAATAAAGTTCTGCCTCATCATCAGGCATTTTGATTTTTCTCTTCTCGCCTACTGTTTCCTGTCTTCCAATTTTACCCTGGCCTCGGGCCTTTTGGTAAGAGTAACTTGACAAAGAATACCCTTCTCACTTCACAAAATAATAGCATCTCCACTTTTAGCTTAAGCTACCTTGAGTTGATTTCTATTACTCACATCTAAAAAATACAAGGGGTAAGGAATTAGTCTGTGGCTGTGCCCAGCAGCCAGGCTGTGGTTTGGCTACAGAGAATACTTGGTAAGGGGGTAATGAAATCAGGTCATTAGGACCCATAAAATCAAACCTAGAATTCTAGTTTCATTTCTGTTTATTTGATTAGCAACTAACTTCCTAGCTTGGAAATTTCTTGGGAGCAGAACTTTTTCATTTTTGAATTCTTTATAGAGATCATTCATTCAGTAAATATTTATTATCTTTTATGTGCCAGGCATATAATAATTAAAAACAATAATAATTGTGCACTGGCCAGGTGACTCAGTTAGTTGGAGTATCATACCATATACCAAAAGTTTGAGGGTTAGATTCCCAATCAGGGCACATGTCTAGGTTGCCAGTTCAATCCTCGCTCGGGGTGCTTACAGGAAGCAACTGATAGATGTTTTTTTTATATATTTTATTTATTTATTTATTTATTTATTTATTTTAGAGAGGGAAGGGAGGGAGAAAGAGAGAGAAAGAGAAACATCAATGTGCGGTTGCTGGGGGTCATGGCCTGCAACCCAGGCATGTGCCCTGACTGGGAATCGAACCTGCGACACTTTGGTTCGCAGCTTGCGCTCAATCCACTGAGCTACGCCAGCCAGGCAACTGATAGATGTTTGTCTCTCGCATTGGTATTTCTCTGTCTTCTCTTTCTCTCTCTCCCCCTTCTTCTCTCTAAAAAATCAGTGAACATATCTTTAGGTGAGAATTAAAAAAATAATAGCACTAATAATATAAACCATTATTTTGAAGTACTTGCTTAGAATATATTCTTTTATTTAATCCATATGACACCCTATAAATTAAATATTACAGACCCTATTGTCAGGTAAGAAACTGGTGCCTAGAGAAGTTAAGTTGTGGCCCAAAGCCACAACTAATAAATTGTAGAGCAAGGATTCATATTCAGATGTGCCTGACTCCAAAGCTCATGCTTGTAGAAAGAATGAACCACAATTTCACTGGCCTTTTCTTCTTCCTAGTTTTAAGACATTTGGGGGATAAGGTATTTATACAACCTGTAGCCCTAATGCAATCCTGTAAACACTAGTAGTGGGAAAACTTGCTTTTGTAAAATGAGTCATTAAATTTGCCACATGAGGGAAAGTCTGGTTGTTAAAGGAAATATGAGGAAATGTCTCACTCATCATTCGTATGGATATGCTCTGGGACAGGCACTGAGGTTCTTTGTCAGTGTAATGTAAGAAATAAAAGGAACTTGCAAAATAACTTATTTTGTGCTAGTTGAAATATGTTGAGTCAATGTGTATCCACTTCTTATTAAATTATTTTATGAATTAGAAATAGAAAGGTAGTTATAAAATAGTCACAGGATATAAAGCACAGCATACAGTAACTATGTATGGTGCCAGGCGGCACAGGAAATATTGGGAGGAACACTTTGTAAAATGTATGATTATCTAATCACTATGCACACCTGAAACTAATACAAATAGTACTAAATGTAAACTGTAGTTGAAAAATAAAATAAAACAAACCAGAATAACAAAAAAACAAATAGGATGCTATTTCCTTAACACGGTAAAGATTGACAAATTCTAAAAATGTTGAGGGTAGTAATGTACAGTGAAACACAAAACATGTCCTTGTTAAAAATGAATACAAAACAACTATAATTGTTTTCACCATTCTTACTTAATGTTTTGTGAGTTCTGTTGTTTTATCTTCGAATGTCTGAGCTCACTCTATTTTATTCATGTTCTTATACTCTTCCAGAGAGCAGGCACTCATGGAAAGGATTTTTAAAAAATTTTTGCCTGGTTTGTATTTTTTCTCTTGGATTGAGTTTTCTGGCTCCTCCTTGACATGTTGTAACTGTTTCTCTCTGTTTTTGTTTTTGTTTTTGTTTTTTTTTAGCACACTGGACTGATTTTAGCTTGCTTGTGCTGAGTGTGAGCAGCTCTTCTTAGACCTTCAGTTCTCTGAGAAAGTAAGGATCAATTCTCCATGACTCCCGCTTCTGGTACTTGCATGTCTCACTTCCAGGTGACGAGGTAGAGCTAAAATGCTGCTTCTATCAGTTCTTCTGATACTGAGGGCAGAAAAAGTAGGAACAGACTTTGTTGAGTCATTTCAGTTTTACTCTTTCTTCAGAGAAAATAGTAAATATCCAGTACCAGAAATTAATTCATCATGTTGGCCATGCATCCTGCTTTCATGATGGAATGCCCCCAGATTCCTAATAGTTCCCTGGGGCTTTTCCTGTGTCTACTCATCTTGAAATTGAGGCATGATGAGTACTTCTTTAGGCTGCTTACTAACCTCTTGAGTCTGTCTTTCCAAGGTTGGAAAGTATTTGTGAGAATGATACATCATCTATCCAGACCACTGGGAGCAGGCTGAGGGTGGGAAGCAGGAGGGACCACTTGGGGAGACCATGAATGACCCAGAGCCTCGTCTAGGCAGCTCCAATTCCCGCCAGCAGGGGCCATGTTGCTTGGGGTAAGTGAGTATGTGCCGGAGAAAGCCCTCCTGTCCCCTTCTGGTACCAGATTGGGATGGGACCAGGGGAAGGCAGGCACATGTGCAACAGAAGTTAAAATGGCAGTGGGGGAAGGTTAGGTCAGTCTAGCCAGGGGAAGGAAGGGATTGGGTGGGAGATGGACCCACCCAAAGCACATGAGGGTTTGGGAAATTGGTTGTTCATTCTGGGAAAAGCACCTGGTCTATCCCACTGCCAAAACTAATATAAACCCAGGGGCACAAAGAAACTCTCTCTTGTTCATGGCTCTCTGCTCAGGATCAGCGCTCAGATGGTGCTCTGGCCTGTCCTCTCCATGGGCCATGTGACCTTAGCAGTCAAAGGTGACCTTAGTTAGCCATGTGACCTTAGCAGTCACGTGGCCCATGGCCTCCAGGAGGGAGTCTCTCTCGTTGACCTGATGAAGTATTTGCCAGTGCCTTTGTGTGCTCTCTAGCCTGAGAGCATAGGACCTCACAGCCCTAGAAGCCACATGGCCAAGGGTGGTGCCAGTTCTACACGCAGCCTCCAGAGGGGAGCCTGAAGCTAGACAACAGCTGGGCACAAGATATGCCACCTGGATGACCACTCAGTAGCTGACTCAGGCTCCAAAGGACAGTACTTTAAAATGGGGCAGAAAATTTTCTTTTGGTCTTGCTGAGGACAGTTGGGTTTTGACTGGGTTTTTCAGAGGAGATAAGCTTTGAGACGGGGAGTCCCCCATTCTTCCAGATGTTCAGCATTCAAATAAAACACTTTTTCTTTTCTCACCAGCCTCTGCCTCTGGTTTGCCTTTTGGTGGCAGTGGGCAGCCAAACTTCACTTTGGTTTGGTGAGAAGAATTCTAAGGAATTTGTCCAACGCCCTTCTTTCCTTAGTACAGTCATGAGAAGTCTCAGAAATTTGTCCAACCCCTACTGGTACTGAGCTAGGAGGCTGTAGTGGGATTGAAAACAATAATTTGTTCTGCTGGAATCTCATGTTTTTTTTTCCTGAATAGCCACATTTTGAAGTTTGCAACTTGTAGTTATACCCTTTTCTTATTCTGTTCCTACTGGTGAATTTTTAGAGGTGTTAGGGTTTTTTTTTTTTCTGTTGCTATGTGTTACACACTGTATGGATTTGGACAAATGTTAAAGGTGTGCATCCTTTATTAATGTATCATGTAGAGTATTTTTACTTCCCTAGAAATGCTCTGCACTCCACTTATTCTCCCCTCACCCTAACCCCTGCAGACCACTCATCTTTTTACTGTCTTTATAGTTTTGCTATTTCCAGAATGTCATGAGGTTGGAATCACACAGTATACAGCTGGTTTTTATTGGCTTCTTTTATTTAGTAATATGCATTTATGATTCCCCCATGTCCTTTCATGACTTGCTGGCTGATTTCTTCTCAGTGCTGTGTGGTAGTACACCGTCTGGATGCAACACAGCTTATTTATTCATCTGATGACTGGAGGACATCTTGACTGCTTCTGAGTTCTGGAAATTTTCAATAGAGCTTCTATGAACATCTTTGTGTTTCCCTCTTTCTAAAAATTCAGCTGTTTGTCTTATTGTTGACTTGTAAGAGTTCTTTATATATTACAAATACAAGTCATTTATCAAATACATGTATCATAAGTATTTTCTCCCAGTCTCTACTTTCCCATTTTGTTTTCTTAGTGTTGTCTTTCAAAGAGAAAAGCTTTTAAATTTTGAGGGAATTCAGTTTATTATTTTTTCTTTTAGAGATTATAGTTTCAGAGTTTAGAGTATATAGTTTATTTATATATTTTGTATCATTTTAAGAAATCTTTACTTATACCCATGTTGAAAAGCTCTCCTGTTTTCTATTTTTAATAGCCTTATTGAGATATGATTTACATAGTATACAATTCACTGATTTATAGTGTACAATTCAATAATATTCTGGTATTCACAGGGTTCTGCAACCATCACCGAAATCTAATTTTAGAATATCAGATTTTTTTGGTGTGGTGCAGAATTTTAGTAATTAGTTTACCAGTGTCATGCAATGAAAAACATCAAAAATCACTGATCTAAGCTTTTATTTTAAGAAAATAGAACAAGCTCTCTTTCTCCGCCATCACGGTGCCTGCAGTTGATGCTCCTTCCCCATGTCTTCTCACAACACTTTCAAGATTAAGAGCTTCCTGGCCAAGAAACAAGCAGAACTTGTCTGTTCCCCAATGGATTTGGATGAAAACTGGTAATAAAATCAGTTACAACTCTAAGAGGAGACATTGAAAAAGAACCAAGGTGAGTCTATAAAGAGTTGCACGTAAGAGGTGGCTCATATTTAGGCTGCATCCAAGCTGCCTGAATGCTGTCACATCATTGTCATGCTCACTACTGTCTAGACAGCTGGGCATTTTTACTGGGAAATTATTAGAAGAATGATTTTCCTCTTTGCCTATTTTTTTTCTGCACTAGTAGTTTGTTTCAATAATAAATACGTAAGACCTTTTTTTAAAAAAAGAACAAAAAGGCAAATTGAATGCAAAGTCAATATTAGGAAAGAAAGAATAAAAACAACGGTGAATTATTAACAAAATAGAAAATGGATAAACAATAAAGAAAATGAATTAGACCAAAAGTGGCTTTGTTAAAAATAAAAAATAAAACTGACAAACCTGTAGCTAGACTGATCAGCAACAGCAGAAAAAGCATACACAAATTGTCAGTATTAGGAATGATAACACTGCAGATTCTTTGACCTTTAAAAAATAGAAATACAATTGGATTAATTGTTTTTTTCCTTCATTTTGGTGCTGAGTTAAAAAATGGACAAAGAACCTGAATAGACACTTCTCCAAAGAGGACATACAGACAGTCAACAGACATATGAAAAAAATGCTCAACATCACTAATCATCAGAGAAATACAAATTGAAAACCACAATGAGCTATCACTCATACCTGCCAGAATGGCTATCATCAATAAACCAACAAACAACAAGTGCTGGTGAGGATGTGGAGAAATGAGAACCCTAGTGCTGTTCTGTAATATGTGATCCTTGAGAATATTCCATGTGTGTTCAAAAAAAATGTGTATTCTGCAGTTTTGGGATCTATTAAGTTGATCTCATCTAATGTGACACTTAAGCCCATTTTTCATTAATTTTTTGTATAAGTGGTTTATCTATTGATGTGAATGGGTTAATAAAATCCCCTATTATTATTGTATTATTGTGGATTTCTCCCTTTATGGCCATTAATAATTGCTTTATATATTTAGGTGTTTCTATGTTGGGTGCATAGATATTTACAATGATCATATCCTCTTCCAGGATTAACTTCTTTAAAATTATGTAATTTTCTCTTTTTATTTTTTACATTTTTTGTTTAAAGTCTATTTTATGTCTATGAATGTTGCTAATGCTAACCCTTTTTTTCCATTTCTATTTCCATGGAATATCTTTTTCCATCCCTTCATTTTCAGTCTGTATGTGTCTTTCAGTTCACAGTGAGTCGCATGGAAGCAGCATAGAGATGGGTCATGACTTTTAATCCATTCAGCCACCCCTTGTCTTTTAATTGGAGTATTTAATCCAACTGCATTAGTTATTGATAAGTATGTGCTTATTGTCATTTTGCTCATTGTTGTTAGGTTGTTTTATAGCTGTCCTCTTGTTCCTTTTTTCTTTTTTTGATTACTTCCCTTACGGTTTGCTGTTTCTTGAATGTGTTTGTTTAGTGTAGTGTTTTCTTTTTGTTCTCTGTGTGTCTTTTTTAGGGTTTTTATTGTGGTTACAATTAGATTTGTGTGTATCATTATTTATTTATAGCAGTCTGTTGTAAGCTGATAGATGTTTAAGTTCAGATATATTCTATAAGGTCTACATTTTTACTACCCTGTCCATGATTTATGTTACGATGCTATATTTCACATATTTTGGGTTGTGTCTCACAACTACTTATTGTAGTGTTGAGTTGAGTTAGACACCTTTTCTTTTTTAACCTTCATAGCAGCTTTTTAAATACATGTTTTGCTGTATTTATGAAATATTTGGCTTTACCTGTGAGATTTCTCATATTTTCTTATGGCTGGTTATGGCCTTTCCTTCTCTATTTAAAGAAGACCCTTTAATATTTCTTGTAAAACTGGTTGAATGGTGATGAAGTCTTTTAGTTTTTGTTTGTCCGGGAAACTCATTATCTCTCCTTCAATTATGGATGATAACTGCTGAGTAAATTATTCTAGGTTGTAGGTTCTTTTTTTTAGCATTTTTGAAGATGTTCTGCCATTCTTTTCTGGCTTATAAAGTTGCTGGTGAGAAATCAGCCGATAACCTTTGCATGTAAGTCATTTTTCACTTGCTTCCTTCAAGATTGTCTCTTTATCTTTAACTTTTGACATTTTAACTATGATGTGTCTCGATGTGGGTCTCCTTGGCCTCATCTTGTTTGGAGCACTCTGTGCCTCCAGGACCTGGAGGTCTGCTTCCTTCCCCAAGTTAGGAGAGCTTTCAGCCATTACTCCTTTAAATAAAGTTTCTGTTTCTATCTTTCTTCTCCTTCTGGGATCCCTATAATGTGAATGTTTGAGTCTTGATGTTGTCCTGGAGGTCCCTTAAACTGTCTTTGTTTTTAAAGATTCTTTTTTATTTCTGCTGTTCTGATTGGTTAATTTCCACTAGTCTGTTTTGTAAGTCACTGATTCATTTTTCTGTGTTAGCTAATCTGCTGTTGATTCCTTCTAATGTATTTTTCATTTCAGTTATGGTATTCTTCAGGTCTTCTTGGTTCTTTCTTAAAAACTTTCTAGCTCTTTGTTGAAGTTTTGCTCCAGTTTCTCTATTCCACTCTCAAGTTTGGTGAGCACCCTTAGGATTGTTTCTTTGAATTCCTTATCAAGCAAATTACTTATTTTCATTTCTTTAGTTTTTTTTCTGGGAGTTTTTCTTGTTTCTTCATTGTAGAGTTATTCTGTCATTTTATTTAGTTTGACTTTCTGTGTTTGTTTATAAGAGACAAAATACCTGTCTCTTTCAGTCTTGGAAAAGTGGTCTTATTTAGAAGCGTGTTTTGTGTAGACTGTCTGTGCCTGGTGGTTTGGAGAGGCCAGTAAAAGCTGAGCAGAAACCTAAGGTGCCCAAGGTTTCTGGCTTATAAAGCCAGAGCAGTGCTAGATGGGAATGCCAGGTATGCAGTAGTGTCCTAGTGATTCTTCTTTCTCTTTGTGTTTGGGCCACAATGGGCTCAGGTGGTATGCCAGGAACACACTGCAGTAACCTTTCAGGCAGGCCAGAGCACCTAGATAGAGCCCCTGCCCATTCTCTAAAGGTGGAGAGAGACATCAACAATGGCACCCATTGGCCCCTCTAATCCCAGAGAGTTCCTGCAGTCCCCAGACAACTCATGCAGTTCTCCAGTCTTGTAGTCTCGTGTAGAAGAGACCTGTGTGTAGGCTTTATGTGCTAGGTAGTTTTTGGTAGCTGCTTGCAGCCAGCAGGCACTTATGGCACCTGGGGCACTAGCCTGACAAGCCAGTACAGTTCTGGGCAGGGAGGTCAGGTGGGTGTGATGATACCTTGTTGTTCTTGCTTATTCCCCTTTTTCAGAGGCAAAAGGATCCAGGTAATAGTTGTAAACACTTTGCACTGAGGTAATCTTGCAGGTAGGCCAAAGCACCAGAATAAGTCTCCTGTCTGTTTAGACAATGGCACTCACTGACTCCTCTGGCCAGCAGAGTTTCTGTAGCCCCCGAAGGGCTCCTTGGCTTCCCAGCCTTCTCTATCGTCTCCTTTTGTTTGCTGTCAGAAGCTGTTTATTCAGCAATCAGTTGTTCACGGGAGTAATTGCTACCTATATACATGTATTTCTTTTTTTTATTGTACTCATGGGAAGAGGTGAGTTCAATATCCTCCTATGCTGCTGTCATTTTGAGCCTTTGGAAGTCACTTTTCGATGGATGCTCTGCCACCTTACAGAGAGTATGGATTGGTATTTATATACCAATAATAGTCAAATATTAAAAAGAATCCTTATTCAGATTTTTGGAGTTCTTTCTATCATTCTCCTTTCTCAGAATTATTTGAGAATTATTCTCAAATTCAGCCCCGTCAGCCTTCTTGAACTATAATCTCTATCTCCTCTACTCAGCTGGGGTCCCCGCTCCCTATGCCACAATCTGTATTGTGCCTTGAGGCAGAAGGCCTGGGCAGTTTCAGGGATCACTTCATTTGTTTCCCATTTGTCAGGGATCACAGGCCTGGCCTACATGTTGTCTGATATCTGAAAATGATCTTTCCTATATTTCCTCCAATTTTCTAGTTGCTTACAGTGAAAGGATAATTCCAGACTCCATTACTCTGTCATAGCTGGAAATACAGCCCCAGAGTTTCAATAATGTTGGAGAATTATCAGTTATACTTATAGCTTACAAATTTCTTTTTTCCTTCAGTTCTATGAATAAGTAGCTTTTAAAAGGTTAATAGTGCTATTATTGTATATTTGGTGTTTGGTATTTGGTTAATGAAGTCTCAAGGCACTTGCTTTTGTGTCCATTTATCAGTGGCAGAAACATTTAACAATATTTTTACATTTTTTTCTGATTACAAAGATCATGCATTTTCATTGCAGAAAAATGGAGACTACAAGACCGTTTTTAAAAATTCAGTCATGATTCCAGTTCTGAGGGATTATTACAGAAAACATTTGGGTTTATTTCCATTAGTTCTTTCATGTGTAGATATAAATTGATAGTGATCTCTTAAACTATAATAGTGGGGGACAAAGTTCAGCATCACAGATAATCATCAAACTATAATTTAAACAAAAATTGTCAGAATGCTTTAGAACACAGTTGTAGATAAAATAATTTAATTCAGTGATTTTGACAACATATACTATATTTATGTATATATAAAATTATGTTGTATACCTGAAACTAATATAATATCATGTCAATTATAACTCAATTTTAAAAAGTATTAGAGAAATGAATGTAGTTTTTGCTATAGTACAAAGGTTGATAAATCTGTTCTCAGTACAAGTTGAGTCTTCATTGGTTTAATTGTTCAAAAACTGAAAGGACTGTCAGCTTTCTTTGTTCTTAACAAGTCTAACCAAGTGTGATGAAAAGATAGGTGATTCTTTTTATCCTAGTCCCATCCCTATAAATAGAAGGTCATCATCTCTCATAATAAAAGAAATGTGCATTAAAATAAAAATAAAACAACTTAGGTTTGGGTTCTCGATATTTTGAGGTTTATGACATTCTGGTGAGTTCTGGAAATTTTGACAGCACTCTTGAAGGACGTACTAAAC